CCCCCCCCCCCCCCCCTCTCCTCTTTAGCCTTTTACTTCCACAATATATATACATACATTTAATGTAGATGGTTCTTTGCACGGGTGGTCCCAAGGGTTGAGGGGTGCTGCGCCCTCCCCAACTTAATTTCAAATTTTATTTCACTTTTCTAGGCCCGAAATGTGTAATCGCCCACCTCAGTCGTCCTCACCTCCTGGCCCAATAGGGATAGTGGAACAAGTAAATCATGGTGACTCAGTTGGCTAAAAATGATAGACTTGCGCCCACCGTGTACAAGGAGCCTCCTCACCCTTTATGAGATTTTTGGATAGCTCCACATTGCCGCTTGCGGGATTCTACCCGTGGTCATCGGTCCAAGATTTCACATTTTTGACCACTTTCTTTCACTTTTCTCTTTTAGGGAAATGCTTTCCCATTTTCCTTTCACTTTTAATACTACCTCCGTCCCGCTATATTTGTCCACTTTTGACTTTTGGAACTGTTAATCTAAGCACTTTGACTCATCAAATTCTCTAAATGTGCAAGTCTAAATATAGTCATGTGTGATCTTGTTTGATTGGTCTTAACATATAGATTATTAATATATAATTTCTATAATTTTTTAATATACAAATCAAAAGATAAAATGGATTAAAGAAGTGTATTGGATGATGTGTAAAAATGAAAGTGGACAAATACTCTGGGACGGATTAAATATTAATAATTTAATAATATACTTTTATCAAAATAATTTAATATTATACTTTTATCAAAGTAATTTAAATTAAAATTATTTTAAATCAAATCTAGTAAGGAGACAATAAAATTAAAGTAATTTTACTCCGCAGTCCATTTCAGCGGGGTATTTGCCTTTTGTGAAAGAATGAGTTGCCTTTGGTGAAAAAAGGGGAGTGGTGGGGCTTTTTGCACACCATTTGAGGGCTTTTCCACATCACACTTCTCCCGGCCCAAAACACACCACTCATTATTCATTAAAAAAATGATTTCCATAAGCATTGCATAGTTGACAAGACAAAAAATGCATTAAAAATTAACATTATTGTCCAATCATGAATATACTATGCATTGAAAACTAGCATTAGTGTCTAATTGCGAAAACAACAAATGATTCGGCAAATATCAAGGAGAATAACAAAGGTGTAGATGAAACTTAAAATTCGGAATGCACCCGAGACAAAGAAAGTTATTTTTATTCTAGTTGTATAAATATTCCATGTTTTAGTCCCCAATGGGTTTTTTTTAAATTTAACATTGATTTCTAATCTTCTCACAAAAAAGATCGTTGGTAACAAATTATTGTATGGAACTACTAACGACGTCAATTTCGGTGTCACCATTGATTGTTTGTATCATGATTCGTCAAATTATATCTTATTTCGTATTTCTTAAACTTTTTAATTTAACGTTTGACAAAATTAACATAGTTGTTTTGTATAATTTTTCCGTAACGTGTTTTTATATTTAGTTTTTTAAGTTTATACTAATTTTGAAATGTACTGAATGCAAAATAATTTAAATAACAAAGATGAAAATCTTATACTGCGCAAAAGCAAAGAAAAAAACTATAATGAAAGTAAAAATTACACTATTCCACCCTAAAATAAATTTATAATTTGACTTCATACTTCTGAAAAAAATACCCGTATTGAAAATTAAAAAAAAAATCTAAAACTTATTTTGGAAGTAAAAATAAAAAAAAATAAAAAGAGCACCTTTGGGAAAGAGGAGCATCCCCTTTCTCTATCTCTGCCTCTCTCCCACACCACACTTTCTCCTTCAAAAAAGTTCCACACTTGTTTGGTTGGGAGAGAGCGCCCAAGTATCCATGTAAAAAAGACTGATGAGAAATTGCTTTTCTTTGTAAAGCAGCTTTCTTTGGGATTCTGTGTGTAATGTGATTCTTTGGACTTGTACTGTACAGCAAGAAGAAGACATAGAGAAAGAGGAGAGGAAGATGCCCAGACCAGGTCCTAGGCCGTACGAGTGTGTGAGAAGAGCATGGCACAGTGATAGGCACCAACCCATGAGAGGATCAGTCATTCAAAAGATTTTCAGGTAATGAATGAGCCCCTCCAACTGTTTCTTGATGTGCTTTCTAGGGTTTTTGTTTCTGTCTTTGGGTTTTTGATGATGTTTCTGAATGCCCACCAACTGTTTGATCAGATGCGTACACGAGAGACACAGCGCCCTTACTAAGAAGAACTCAGAGTGGCAAGTGAAGCTCCCAATTGTGGTCTTCAAAGCTGAGGAAATTATGTACTCCAAAGCTAATTCTGAGGTTAAACTTTCCCCCCTTTCTCTCACTCTCCACATTTTGTGTTACATTTCATTGAGGATTTGAACTTTTGTAAACCATTCAGGCTGAATATATGGATCCGGAAACTCTCTGGGATAGGGCTAATGAAGCTATTGATGTGATAATTCGGAGGGACGAGAGTACAGAGACTGGTCAGCTCTTACCTCCTTGTGTTGAAGGTACAACTATTCACATTTAAAGTTTGCAACTTTACTTTCTCCATTATTTAGAATTCAGTTTTGGAACCCTGCATATGCTTGGGGAAGAAGATAGGGAGTAAAATTTCTTGAATAAAATTGGGAAAAGTGCAAAAAATTGGTTCAAATGTTATATATGTCAAATTTAATTTTAATTTTTATCTACCCTCTTTGTTCCTATTCTCTACCATTTTCCACATTCCAAACATATTGCACATCAGGTTTTCTAAGGAAATGGCCGTCTCTCCACACGAGAATGACACACCATATTTACACCATTTGCTTTTCACCATCTGTGGTGTGTTGGATTTCAAGTGTGGCTTCGTTTCGTCTATTGGGTTGAAATCAAATAGTCCTACATAGGACTTTCACTTGTAAGACAGTCATTTCCTTAGGAAATTACAATAACACATTGAGCAATTAGACTGAGACCTTTAATGCAAGTTTTGCCCTTTGTGAACTTTGGTGTGTTCAGCTGCTCTTGTTCTTGGTTGTGTTGCGGAAAAGACATCCCGAAGCCAACGGAACATTAAACCGAGAAGCTACCTACCCCCAAGAACTCAAGAACATCATCCTATGCCTCCCAAAGTTATCCATCACACTTCAAATGATTGCCATTCCAACTCACTCTCTCCTCATTCCTCAAGCCACCCTACACTTGGAAGACCCACACTTAATTCGGTCACTTTGCCTTCAGAATCTAATAAGCCGGTATCACCTAACACGTTAAACGTGGGTGCAGTATATCCTCTGTATCATGGAACCAATTTCTCACCAAATCTTTCACTGTCAGGCTTCCATGGGCCTACAAGCAATCTGATTTGTGGCAGGCCCAATTATCCAGAGGCCAACCATTTGAAGAATTTTTTCTCCAAATCTATTGAAAATCATGCTCAAAATGAAAGAGCGGTTCTTGGTGGTGGACCCCAAGAGGAATGCGATTTGTCTTTGAGGTTGGGTCAGTCTTTAGACTGTGGCCTTCATTTGGGAAACGCTTCTGTCCGGCCAAGTGATGATTCTAATGAAAGAGGCAAGTCCAAAGTTGTATCTGCCATTAATCAAAGAGAGTTTTGTTTCTTTAGACGGGAATCTACAAACGATTCTTCTAGATTTCCCACGAGTTGGCGGGAGTCAGAGCGGGAAGGCCAGGACATGGGGTTGATTCCTAGGAAGCGTAAAGAGGGCCCCACTTTTGACCATTTCAGTGGTCAACTGAAAAGACCAGGTTTGTAGACAATCACGTATCATAAGTTGTATTGTAATTTTTTGAGGAAGGAAAATTTTGGGAGGCCCCCAATGCTTTCATCAAAAGCCCGCATTGCTGTTTCTGCATATAATGCTTAACTATGAAGATCTATATGGTGTAGCAAATAGAAGGAAAAGGCACTAATAAATTCTTAAGCTGACAATATAAAGGAGGGAGAAAGAGTGAGAAGAAAGAAAAGGTGATAACAAAGTTGGGTTTTGCGTATTGTCTGGTGGGAGAGGCACAAAAGAAAATAAGAGAAAGAAAAGTGTTTTTGTTAAAATAACAAACACTATCATTCAATCCAAAAATGATATGAGAGTATAGGATACAACAACAACAACAAGCCCAACAAAATCCCACAAAAATAAAGTACAGGGTAAAATTGGAAAATTAAAAAAAACCCTTTTCTTCCCACAATAAGAAAGACAAAAAAAGAGGTAGGCCTCAAGCTTTTAACTTTCTTCTCTCTTTTCTTTCCATTCCAAAGGTAAACCCATTTCTCTATTTCCTTCCTCTCTATTGCTTCTCTTTTTCCTTAGAACCTAACACCGTTAGAGGACACAGGCGAAAAAATGCATTTTAACACATTTCAGACCAATTTTGCTTATGGTTACTGCACTAACTTACTAAAGGGATAAGAGCTGATTTGGAATTTGGAAGATGCAATCGGCATATGATTTTTTTTATTGTTTTGCAATTTCAGTGCCACGAATTTTGTTTAAATTACCAGATGTGTGTTTTTGTGAATCATTAGCTATTGTATTGTATCAAAATATTATTAGGTAGTTACATGTAGCCTATTCACATTGATTTTAATGCCAGCCTAGATTGTGAGTTTCTTATTACCAATTATAGTTTACTGTGTGTACCTTTCAAATTCCTCTTATAGAAGTTAGAAGACAAAAATACAGTAAGGCTTTGTTTGGGTGGGAAAAGAAATAGTGGTTAGTGAACAAAGAAAAATGTAATAGTGGGATTTTATTAGTGAATAAAAAGAAAACTGTGGTAGTGGGTTTTTATACATTGTTTGGTAGGATAGAAATTTGATAGCAAAAGAAGAAAAAAAGGTGTAGGTACTTGAGAAAAAGACAAAAACATCTTTAAAACTAAAAATGCCATGAAGAGGAAAGATTCTATCCCTCTGTTTTAATGAGAGGAGAAAAAAAAAGGAAATGTTGATGTGACCTGCAACTTCTTTTTCTCCCTCCATTTTCATTGCTAACCAAACAATAGAGAAGCATAGTTCCATTTATGCCATTTCCATTGCCAATGGAGCTAAAGTAGTCGTAATTGACAATGTTTCATCTTCAAGTAAACGATGGACGAATTCAAAATGACACATTAAACTTTCTTTACTTTTTTACTCTCAATGAAGTTTTAGGTAGTAAATGCAGCAATGCATCATGGTCTAACAAAAACAGTTTGTATGCATTTTAAAGGGGTAAGGCTGCTTAGATTTTGATCCCCAGATCCCAACTAACTTTTGATTATATTGGGTTATTGTTGATCTTGTTCCATTTATGATCTTGTGCTGACCTAAAGTCATAGGATTTTTTCGTGCGGTCGATATTATAAGTCCTTTTATGTCTGTCCTAGTCTCAACAAGAAGAAACGAGCCTCGTTCCTTAGATTTTGTGATCATTTATTTATTTGTGTTGAAAATCTGGGATCCATAGTAGATAATTGTTCTATGTAGCAGACAAATCTTTGTGTACAAAGTACATAACCTTATTTTTTTTCATTGTTCCAATTTCATGTGGATGTTTTATGAGCATTTGGCATTCTTTTAGAAATTGTGATACTCTTGGAACATAGTGGGTGGTAACCTGTCTTTACATTTCCAGTTCTAATACAATGTGCATTTGAGAACCCATAAAGGTATGATTCATTTGAAATGGCAATTTTCCTTCTTTAATGCTCTATCATTGATAATCGTTTGTCTGTGTCTGTCTTTGCAAGCAATGGGGCACCCATGGGGGCACCCATGTGGTGTTACCCTAGCTTTATTCTTTTTTAAGCGAAGATTATCTATTACTCCGTATTATTCATACTCTCCCCTCCCCTCCCCTCCCCTGGGGCTGTTGAGTGTCCTTTAGCCAGAAATATGGATGCTCTTTTACTAGCAGAGAGGATTAGAAAATTTGAATTTTAGCTTTGAGTAGAGAGTACTGTTAAACAATATTGCTGGGGGTGATGAATAGGACTTGAGTATCCAGAAAACAAACTAAATACTCCCCCAGTCCCTCTGTCCCTATTTGCTTGCCACATTTCAATTTATGAGATAAGATATTAATTTTTTCAATTCATTTTATTTAAATATTTGTATAAAAATAAAAAAGTAAAATTTACATAACAACTAAATGAAAAGTTCTTTGTAATAAGAGGTGTGAATTATATTTCATTTTATCAAATAACTAATGAAAACGTACAAATAAGCAAAAATTTTTACGACTGTTGAAAAAGTAAGTAAATGTGATGTGTTTTAAGGGACGGAGGTAGTAAAGAAATAAATAAAATTATAAATGAATAAATAAATAAATGCAAGGTTCTACTAATTTACACGTGGTGTGTTCATTATGTAGAGATTATTATCTATGAACAGCTTTGTTCTTCCCTTGGGATATATTGGTCATAAAGAGCAAAAAATTGACATGATAAAGGCAAAAAAAAAAAAAAGAAAAAAAAAAGATAAAGAAAAGATGTTTTTTTCTTTTCCTTTTTCATCACACTCCAACATGACAGCTATTGAGCTATTATTTCATATTGCCCACTTTGGGTATAGTTTCCATTTAGGAGCAGAAACAACACAATTTCACGGGCTTCCTGCTAAAAAATATTGACCTATTAAGGATGTCCTTACTCTAAAAAGTGGGAGTTATCTTTAATAGGGTGGGAGTAAAAGTGAAGGATATAACTGTCTTTTAGATTTAAAACATTTACTAAAAAAGGAAATAACTCAATAAGAGAGATTTCCAAACAGTCCAAAAAGGAAAATGAAAAGAATACTTTCAGAGTATCACATTTATAAGGATTATGATATCGCTACGTTCTAGTCATTATGCATCTGAACTCTGATTAGACTTCATCAGACACACCAAATGTATTCTAATATCGGAAGATACTCCATATGTCCACTATAGATCTTCCCAAACACTATTTATAGGGTTATATTTAATTCATTTTGTTTGTTTATTTTTACTACTTATTTCATAAAATATAATAATGTTGTCACTTCTAGTTTTGTAGAATCTTTCATATAGTTTATTACTACATAGATTTTATATTAAAATTTTACCGCTATATTTAAATAAATTAAATTGAAAATAAAGTTGGTCAAACCTTATAACGCGTAATGGAAAGATCTTAAGTGGACAGATGAAGTATTAGAATTTATACTTTATGTGTTCACCAAAAGGGCTCTAAATGTGTATATAAACATTGAATATATACACACACAAAACTTGAATGAAAGTAACAAAGAAAGAGACAAACAATGCAATTGTGCAAACAAGGGTTTTATTCAATTCAATCAAATAGTACAAAGTTATGAATTCCACACAATAGCTTAGAAACACCACACATCAACGGTACTAAAACAAGAATGGGCCCTACGATGCTCCTCCGTTCAAACAAAACGTTTTAATACAATGCCGCTAGCAAAAACGGTAAAAATAGTACACTCGAAAATATGGTTGCACGAGTTGCGCTGGACGGCGGCGGCGGCGATGCCGGATTGGAACTCGGAGACGGGGTGGTTCCTGCCGCCGCCGGCGACGGAGATGATGAATTAGAACCCGGGGCCGGGCTGCTCTTTGGCGGGGAAGACGGCGGTGACGGCGACGATGGATTAGAACCCGGGGCCGGGCTGCTCTTCGGCGGGGAAGACGGCGGCGACCCCTTGACGGCGGAGCTGACGTTGACCGTTAACTTTTGACCTAAGGTGCAGTGGAGTGTGCAGATGAAGTAGTGCTCGCCGGTGGAATTGAGCGTGACGGTTGCCGGACCGTTAGATTCGAGCAGAAGCGGGTTTCCGGCGGTGCATGAGTCGTAATCTTTCTTGGTTTTCACGCTCGCCACCGTGTGTGCTCCGGTGGTAAATTTGAAGACTGCAAATTTTGTATTTTGATTAATAATACTTGGTAAAACATAAGATTACCACAAACAAAGACATAAAGCTATTTTGGTACACGAAATTCAAATTATAAAATTACAATTTTAGATAATAATTTCAATTTCATTCTTTGGTAACACAAAAATATATGAATTAGAAATTGGTAGTGGCAAAAATGAATTGAAATTAGAGAATTCAGTTCTATCTAAATTAACTTAATAGAATTTCAACGCACAATTTGATTCTAATTCTGTCAATTTCATGTACTAAATGGATCAGAGTATTTATAACAATTTAATTTGAACGGTTAATTAATTAGACCAAGTTTACTCATCCATTAAATAAAAATTAAATTGCAATTTAATATAAAGATGATTCTATTGTATTTATCTTGCATACAAATTTAAAAATATTACTCTCTTTTTGTTTGAATTTAGTTATTAACTTCTTACTTTGCAATTCACTTTCCATGTTATAAACAAAAGTTAAAAATAATTTTTCACTGTATAATAGTTGAGTTTTGTTTTTGATCCATCTAAATTTCTTTTTGTTCAAGTCATTCTTGCAAAAATATTCTTACAAAAAAATATTAATTAAAACGTTGAATAAGAAGATCATATTTTTATTAAAAAAAATGGAAAGAAATAATTAATGATAACAAAGAGGTAGAAAAGATAATTACCCAAGACATCTCCAACAGAGAATTTGAGGTTTTTTGCCCAATCGGAATAAGTGGTGGCGCCATTAGAAGGTATAATCCAACCGGCATTATCCCCAACGTTGTACGTCGTCGTTCCAAGCGCCCCACCTGACGTCACTAAGATTAACATCATCATCAGGAACACAGATTCCATCCTAATAACAATAATTAACGTCAATTGTCTGTGTTCTAAGGTCTCCCCTTGTGGCAATATGTAATTTTATTTTTTTGGAAAGAGAAAATCAGATTAAGGTTTGGGAATTAAGGATATGCGGGTATTTATATATATGTATAGTCCATATATATAGCATAATAATAATGTGAATATGTGACAAGTCAAAGAAAGTGTCTCATTCCTTCATGGAGTGGTTTAAAATGGTTGGGACTTCGTTGTCATATAGACGTGTGGAACATGGCATGGCTTACAACGTGCGACGACTCGGTTTTGTAAAGAACAAGAGGTAGGTCAACCCAAGGACCGGTGTCGATAGCGGTTAGATCGGCGGGAAGAATCGTGGGATTCCAACCGATCTAACGACTCCCGGTCTACTTTTCTTGGTGGACCCCACAACCGGGTGGGAAAAATAATTTACGCACATTAAAAACGGAATTTGTTTGTGAATTTATTTTTTCGGTGTGTGTATTAGAAATGCTCCTAAGTCGGAGCGAAACATTGGAAAAAGTACTTTGATAGGACTCGAATTGTTTTATCGCAAATTAGAGTTGCAATATCAACAATGAAAAATTGACACTGAATTGACAATACTGAAGACAGACGATGTAATGTCTTACTTTGTTAACTGCACAAACAATCACCTGAATTCTCTCAATTAACAAATTTTAATACCTATTTGGTCTGCTTATTTTTTTACTCACTCCGTCCATTAATTCTTTTCTAACATTCCTTTTTTAACTATAATATTCACTTCATTCCATCACATTAAGTGCAATATATGAAAAATCTCTACAGTCTTTAACTTTTCTTATTCTTCGTACCAAATCAAATCAGAAAAGAAATTTTTGGATGGAGTGAACTATTTATTACTCGTCCGTCCCAATTTAAGTTGTACTCAGTATGTTTATTAAGATCAAACTTTATTCATTTATTTTACCTATTTTTGTTACAAATTTGAAAAGATAATGTTGTTCTGTCACACCTTGTTTCGCAGAGCCTTTAATTTGATACTCCGTATGATGTAATCTTTTAATATATAATTTTTATTTTTAATTTAATCTCAATTTTTAAATAAAATAAATTGAAAATAACTTCAATCAAATATTGTAAATTAAAATGGAAAATTGAAATTGAGAGAGAATTTTTTTTTAAATTTTTGTAAGTCAACGAGAAATACATTTGAGAACATGAGAATGCAATTCTGCGTTGAATTGTCCAATGTCAAGTGTCAACTAACGATTACAAAATAAAATCATTAGTCAAATAATTATAAAATGCACCCATATTGTTTGGTTGGATGACTTGGTTACAATGATCTAGTCTTCTCTCCTTTTTCTTTTTCGCTTATGTAATTATACTTGTCAAACTTAGGCAGCTAAAGAGGATAACACCAACAAGAGCACTGTATAATAATTGTGCCTATTTTTTTAAAGGAAAAGTTAGTGTATCAAAATTTTGTACACCAGTATATCACAGACAAACACAGATAATCATTGACTGTACATGCAGAAATAATGTCTAAAGAGGATAACACCAACAAGAGCACTGTATAATAATTGTGCCTATTTTTTTAAGAAAAAGTTAGTGTATCAAAATTTTGTACACCAGTATATCATAGACAAGCACAGACAATCATTGACACTACACACAAAAATTATGGCTATCTCCACATGTGGGATATACTGTGTGCTAGTTGGGGACACTCGTACTCATTTCTTATTTTTCATTTACTATTTGGTTTTTTTATTCTTTTTTAAATCTTTTTTATCTCTTTATTTCCTTTTCCTAGAAAAGTTTTTAAAATTTCTTTTCAATTTTTATAATGTTTTAAAGAATTCAAAAGTCTTTGTGTTTGAAATAAAAATCAAGTAACATATACTTCATCTATCTCAAACTAAAACATTTCACTTTTTGTTTTCTGATATACGGTAATTTTTTGGTAAGTCCAAAAAGAAAATCTATATTACAAAAATAAAAAATTAAAATATGCAAAAAAAACAAAAAGAAATAATTGAAACATGCAAAAAGAGTCTTATACAAAAATAAATTTTCAGAACGCTTAAAAAAATCCTTAGAATTGATATGCCCAAAAAGGATATTCATTTTATTTTTTGTTTTATTTTATTTATTATTTATTCCTCATTTTTTAAGTTCTCAAAAAAAGTTTTTACTTTTTTATTTCAGAAAACAAAAAACAAAAATTATTAGTTTTTGAGATGTATAACATTTATGCCTATATACTTAAAAAAAGGTGATTAGCTCACCTAGCAATACTGATGCACTGAAGTTGGGTTCGATTCCCGCTTGCCGCCTTCAACTTTTAAATTTTTAAATTTAAGAAAAAGTGGGTTTAGCCTCAAACTGGCCAAGCAGTGCCGAGTCACCCAGTTCGTAGGGTCACAGGGTCAGACGTGTTTGGGTGAGTTGTGGGAAAAGCGGTTCTACTCAATGAACCGGACTAGATGCGCGTTTGGGTAATGGTCTAACTAGTTGTACCTGCCAGCCCGGCTTGATTTTCAAAACACTAGTGTGTCTGTATTTGTCATTGATCATATCAACTTTAAATCAATCACAAACCCTACAATTTCAATTTGTCTCCATATCAATCACAAGCCCCACATTTTTTTATGTTGCCTTAATCGGCGAGACAAAAAGTTACTCTGTAGCACAATTAAAAGTGGAAGGAGATTTTTCCAAATTCAAAAACACAAATCATCACTCGCGTGGGGGTGTTGGTGGCGGTTGGCAATTTTTCCAAATTCAAAAACACAAGTTTCAGTCACCTGTTTCCATCTTCGAGACTTCAAACACAATCTCTAGCTTCGCGACTTCAATTCTCGGTCATGTTTAAGGTGAAAAGAACAAGGGCAAGCAATAGTATTCCTTGAGTTGACAATAAATACGCAATTAACTAATGTGTTAACAGTTAAAAATAATATTCAGCCTAACCCCAAAAAAGCTCTTAAGAGGTGACGTTTATCTCATACTCCCTCCATTCCATATTAACTGTCTATTAACACTTTCTTGATAAATTGAAATATGAATGAATGTAGACATAAACATATGTCTACATTCATTTAATTTTTAACGCATCAAGAAAGTAATAACGAAGAGTTAAATGGAATGGAGGGAGTACTTGTTTAGGGCTTCATTCATTCATATTTAGCCAATGTTGGATAACTCCAATGCCCCCACACAGACAGTATCGACTAGTCCATCTTTTTTGTGGGGTCATTCATAGGGTGCCTCGCTATCATGGCTATGGGTCAGGTCATATAATTAGATCGTATGACTCTAATACCATGTTAAAGAATAATATTCAAGCGAAGTCGGCCCAAAAGAGCCATCAAAATGTGAGGTTTACCTCACGATTCATTCATTCATACTTAGCTGACTTGAGATAACTCCAACTCATGAAATATTAATTACTCCATAGTTAATCCCTCGATGAATCTTTCAATAAGGGAAAATGAAAAATAGGCCGAGATTAGATTGGCTTTAACAGATGAGTATATTTATGGGTGTTACCGTAGTTCTCCAGTGCCACCATGGTCATAATGCAAATTCTTAGAAACATAGGAAACATCCTAAGCATGCTTGAAGAGTTTCATGCTGAGCCAGTGGAAATATACAGCAACAACAAGAACAGGAAGTGTCAAAGGTACCAGAAAGCAATAGTATCTGAAAAACAGAGGAATCCAATTCAAAGGGTTATGGACATGATTTAACAATAGTATCTGAGATGCTGACATCCTAAGAAAGAATGGAAATTCACCTGTCATTTTGAATGGCTGATATTATAGGATTACCAGAAGCTGGAAGAAGCTTGGACAACCCAGCAGCGAAAGCAAATAGAATGAATGAAACGGAGCCGAAAATAAGAAGCATCCATCCTTGAGCTTGGGAACCAAACTTCCAGGGAGGTGATGATGATGAGCCCAGATTGGTTTCCTGCATGTTCATTCTTTCAGGCATATCGTCGAACGCCTGGTGGTCAACAAATTCTTGAGTTAGTAGAACCAGACGCTTTATGTGTTTTGGGGCTGTCTAATTTAGATACCAAGTGTAAGGCGTGTCCGTAGTGCCTACAAATTAATTTATTATTTTCCTTAACTTAAATCCCCTTTATGAATTAATAATTAAAACATATAGATAGGGCAAGTAAGGGTCAATTCCTTAAAACATATAGATAGGGCCAATAATCATCTCTAATCATAAAAGTTGAAAACCCAAACTGGTAGTGCTAAAGGATGGCTTCGGCCTTTTGGGAAGAAACAACCCAATCACAAACACAGACTAATTAAACATTTGTTCGAATGAAAAACAAAGCAACTGTAAGCATCAAAACAGCCTAAAATTAATGAACATAGGAAGAATTGGGGCTGGACCGAAGTCCAGACCCCTAGAGGACGTACCCTCCCTGCTGTTTCCTCGCTCCTCGCAGCTGCCTGGTGCGTGTTCTTCGTCCTGGGCAGCTGCTGGACTGGTGGTGGATTGGGCTGCCGCACGCAGGTCTGGGATTCGTTTCTTCACTTGGTCGACTTCCTTCTTCATTGTTTTGGGCAGCTCTGGACTGGGCTTCGTAATGGCCAATTGGGTCAAGTCCCAATGGCCCATTAATTTATTCATATGATTCTTGACAGCCCGGGATGTAAACTTGACATCTTCGCCGAGCTTTTTATGCTTCGCAAAATGATTTATAAGACCCATGCCAAGGTAAATGAGATAATAAAAATAGTGAAGTAAAAAAATACTCAAAAGAATGCATTTTATGATTAAAATATAAATAGTGGCCTAAATTTCTATATAAACATCACAACGATTAAATGCGTATAAAATGTATCTGGAATATACTAAAACGGGCTAATATGGGCGAATAAAATATGAGATTTGACGACTTATCACCAAGCAAAAGAAACAAAGAAAAGAGGATTAACCAAATCAACATCTTCTCAAATTCAATCTTAATTGGTCAAATATAAAATAAGATTTATCTATGATCTCAATAAAGATGTTGTGCAAAGTAAAAACTATAGACCTCATATATACTCTTTTTGTTAAGAGTCAATCCGACCACAATGTCTTTTTACAACATTTATCAACCACCTAAGCTATGCCACGAAAATTGCTTTTTATATAAGAGACTACCAAAGTATAGTTAAAATTAGATACTTTTAAAGCTTAATACACTAGAAAAAAGATTAAACTAAGAGAAAAATATAGAAAAAGCATCAAAATAAAAGTTTCATATTTTTATCTCTAAATAATGATTTACAATACCAAAAATATTAACAATATCAAAGAACAAAGTTGAATACCAATATACAGTGTTGAATTGCCACAATGCAATAGTTTTATTTTGAAAATAATAATATTGAACTTCTAATTGGGGATATGATTAATGTTTGGGTCCTAACATGATAGATTTCTTTAATAAATTCTCCAACAATAATTCTTGTGGGTTTTCACCAGAGTCAATTTAGTTTTTTCTAAGCATTCACTTAAATAAAAAATATGTCTAAGCTCCATGCGTAGTTGTGACGTTAATGCGGATTGTTAGTCAGCTCTACAAATGAGGTTTTGAATAACAACATGGGAGGAGATTCCTGCATTTCACATTACCTTTGACATTATAATATTGTATACACATTTTCCTGTACATATATGTGAGATACTATCGTATCAAATGTGGTGTTCCCCTAGGTCTTTTGTTTGAATAAAGTGTGTTAGATATCTCGAACCATAAGTGAAACTCAACAGTCAGTATACTAAGTATGCTTGTAAAATATATTCACCAACCAACCAATCAGTCCAATGACACCCGATAGATAGTCACAACCATATGATTCAAGGAAAAATATTGAAAGTAAAAAAGATAAACACGAAGTTCTAATACTTGGATAGTGATTTTGAGCCTGTTTAGGAAGAGCGTCAGAGTTTAGAGTTAGAGATTAGAGTTAGAGATTAGAGTTAGAGTTTAGCTGTTTGCATCAGAGTTAGTGATTAGCTGTTTGATTTTTATCGTTTGGCAGTTCCATATTTAAAAAAGCTTATGCATGGTAAATTACTAAACTACCCAATTGAACATGTACTTTTGTATTTTAAAAGTTAGCTTATTTTGCATTGTTCTCGTGATTATTTTTACATTTGTTATTATAATTTTTTATTTTTAGGTTAGCAAGTTGTTAAAATATATATTTTTTAGAGGGAATCATTAAGAAAAAATGATTTATTATACTTTTAGAATAGAACAACAGAGTAATAGTTTAGTAGACTGTAAGAACTAAACATTATACTCCCTCCGTCCCACTCTCTTTGTCCACTTTGAATTTTTGGAACTGTTCATCTAAGCACTTTGACTCATCAAATTCTGTCAATGTGTAAGCCTAAATATAGTCATATGTGATCTTGTTTGATTTGTCTTAACATATAGATTATTAATATATAATTTCTATAATTTTTTAATATACAAATTACAAGATAAAATGGATTAAAGAAGTGCATGGATGGTGTGCAAAAATGAAAGTGGACAAATACTCTGGGACGGAGATAGTATTTTTTTAAAAAATAAACTTAATAAGCTCTTAGAAATGATTGCATTCCGAATTTGATAAAAAAATCAAACATTGACTCTGTATCTCACCAAATTGTCTGCTATTTCATTTCTAAGCAAGTTCATTTGTGTTTCATTGGTGCCACTGCGATGATTAGTAGAACTTTCTTCATTATCAGAATCTTCCTCGAACTCATCATCTTCGTCTTCAAATTTAGAAAAATCAGAATCTTTGCTACCAGCATGTCGTCGTATGTAGTTATGCAAAGCCATACAAGCAATCACTATTAATACTTGTTTAGGAAACGGATAATTTGTCATGATTTTTAACATAGCCCATTTATTTTTTAAAACTCCAAATGCTCTTTCGATCACACTTCGTAAGGAGTAATGAGCTTTGTTAAATATCTCTTCTTTGCCTGATACTGGTCTTCCTTGTCGAAAATCTGATAGATGATATCTCTCTCCTCTATAAGGTCCCAAATAACCAGGAATCTGAGGATATCCAGCATCTACTAAATAATATTTTCCTGTAAGACATAATTATGTTATCATTTACACAAATATTACATTAATATATAAAAATATGAACATTTTTAAATATAAAACATTAAAATAAATATATATATGTTTTTGTACCAGGCGGAGGATGTGGGAATTTCCATTGTTCTTGACGTAGGGCCTTATAAAAAACATTTGCATCATGAGCAGATCCTTCCCAACCTGCTAGTACAAAAGTAAAACACATATTAAAGTCACATACAGCCATCACATTTTGTGTTGGCACCCCTTTTCGTCCGATGTATGGCAATTGGTCTAAAACAGGGATGGAAGCTGGAATATGTGTACCATTAATTGCACCAATACAATCCTGTAATATTATAAGTAAAAATAGTTAAGCATTAAATATTTTTATGCTTCACTTAAAATGCGTGGCATGAATTGCATCAATATATATATATCTGTATTTACCTTAAAATGCGGCATAAATCTGCGATCTTTTTTTATTTGTTCTGGGGTATCTCTAAATTGGCGATCAGATGGTTGAATCACATCAGAAGCCATGCTTATAATGCTTTCTAATGTCATATTAAAGTATCTGCTAACTGTTTCACCAGACCTTTGAAAGCGTTCTTGAATTTCTCTATTTGACTCTCCATGACCCAATATGTATAGGAACATTGCAAGTGCTTCCATTGTTGACATATTAATTGAGCCGCATAGTTCGTACTTACTTTCCAAAGTATGAAGTAAACTTAGAAATATATCCTTTTCCATTCTAAATGCATTATAAAATCTTCTATCATGACAATCTAGGAGCTATTTAACCCATGTCTCACCACTTTGCTTTGAAGTGAAACAAGGTCTTTTGAGAATATATTTTCGATAGTACTCCTGAACATGCTCCATTAATAAGGTTCCTGAATGTGCCCATTTCATATCACCATTCAGAATGACTTGTAATTCACATTCTTCCGTTTCCCCATCTTCTGTGACAACTTGATCATGGATCTGCCATATTATTTCACAAGAAATATATCTTGAGTCAGCTGATTTACAACATGATGTATATCTTTCAATATAATCTTAATACATAACATCATATATATCCATAAAGAAGAAATATAAATATAATTTCATAGGCACAACGAAACACACCAAGCCATAGTAAAAAAACGAGATGTCTAGCCAATTAAGACAAATATAAAAATCAAATATCTTATTCTAAACGAGATGTCTAGGCAATTAAGACTGTTGAAAAGAAATTAAGTCACCATGTTATAGTTCTCCAACCTAGAAAACAAAACCTTACACACCTACGAAGAAAAATTGAAATGATTGTTTCCTAATAAACTAGTAAAAGTCTGAGCTTCATTCGCTGTTGCTTCACTTTCTTCAACTTTCAAATACCATAGTCTAGAGTCATAATGGTTTAGAGCCATAAACATTTCACGTTTGTCCTTGTTCAAGAAGAGCTTCGTTGCAAATCGATACAAAGTGCTATAAGGTGGAATGTCATTCTCCATGGATTTTAGCACGTCAACTGCTTCAGAAATAGTAGGAGGCAACCTGCTAACTCTGGACATGATTGCTTCTCAATGCTTATCAAATTCTTCCTTAATTTCATCTATTTTTATTGACAACATAGAAACTCCTCCCTTTTTTTTCTTGCACAACTTTCTCTTTTGCGCAGATGATGAGCCACTCGCTCGTCTTTTTAAAGGATTCTCATTCATTTCAAAACCAGTATCACCCTCTCTAGTTCCTTCATTTTCTTGGTCATCATTTAGATCTGGGATGCATAAATCAACAATACCTTCGTTACAAGGAGTAGTATGAATATTAACCTCTACCGACGGAACCTGGGAATTTGATGAAGCTTCAAAGAATCGTCGTGGAGGACAACCAGCCGAGGGGGACCACATATCATCTCCTTTAGCAACAGTACCATCAAATAATAATCCCAATATGTCTTCCAACTCAGGATCAATGCCTTTACTTCGAAACTTGGCTATTTCTGGATTAGCCTAAAAACAAAAAGAATCATAATTACAATACGTTTAAAAAATTAGACTGATTACATACGCCTATGTTAGGCATTGACCTTTAACGAAAATCGAATTCAAATAAATATATGCTCAATACCATTTAAATTATTTTTCATTAAAACTTTTTTATTATGAAAAGTTTACGCTTAAGAATATCCATAAGATATTTTTATTACATAACAACGATGTAAAGATCGTATAACATACCTTAATATTTTTATCCCACCAACCATCTGTACCATCGATAGTGCCTTTGCGTGGGTCCCACCCTAATCCAGTTGCTAGTCTCTTCAGGTGCTTCCAATTTTTCCAATCCTTTTTTAATGTATCCCATTTGTGTTTCATTTGCGAGGTATCATAGGTTAGTCCTGTCTCATTTTTGAACTTAGTGGCTATGCTAGCCCATGCAAACTTCTTCAAGCTACCTCCCGCTCTATTACCGGCCTCTAGTTCCTTTTTGCATATATTACAAAAAATAATAACACTTCCTCTCTCCCATTCAGGGTTCACACACCATTTCTGTTGCTAAATCAGCAAAAGATAAAACTTCTGCCAAATCTGATGCCGAAGGATCTACTACTTCACGTAATTATTTAATTCACTGCGTGGTGGAACGAAATATGTTTCCCGGTCGGGTGAATCGGACGATTGACAAGTCTGATGTCGCTGAAGAGAAAGATATAAAAAGATAAAAGATAATAAAAGATATAAGTAGGCTTTCACCTAATTGGTCCCAGAGCAAGATCGGACCTATAACAGCTTTTTTCGTAAATAGCGAAAAGGCCTAGCCAAGAATAAGCTTTTCTCCGGCATTTACCTTTATTCTTTTATTTCATGTCGGTCCGTAGGGTAATATGCTAATCTATTACATAAAGCCTTAAATACCCTCTACTTGTACAGGGCTAGAGACTAGAGGCTCCCCGGGTAATCAATCTATGTTAAACCTCCCAGGTAAGGTACGAAGTCACTAGAGAATTCGTTTCACTATGTGAAATAGCTAGAGAGAACAGAGAACAGAGAACAGAGATTCGTTGAACATAGTTCAACTCATTTCGTTTCACTATGTTACACTCATTTCGTTGAACATAGTTCAACGAATCTCTGTCAACTCATTTGAAACGAATCTCTAGGTACGACCAACGTACGTAGTCGCTCGAAGAGGGGAGTCCCTCTCCCGTAGGTCGAGTGACTTCGTACCTCTCCCGTAGGTCGAGTGACTTCGTACCTCTCCCGTAGGTCGAATGAGTTTCACATAGTGAAACGAATTCTCTAGTGACTTCGTACCTCTCCCGTAGGTCGAATGAGTTTCACATAGTGAAACGAATTCTCTAGTGACTTCGTACCTCGAAGAGGGGAGTTGCTCGAAGAGGGAAAAGCTAGTTTAAGGAGATGGAATTCAATATTTTCTTATGAACATTATATACGTTTCAGGGTTCACACACAAGTACGACCAGTGCCGCCTTCCCCAACAGGAGCATTATGAGTGAAAGAAAGTTCCTAAACATGAATTAGGAGTGAAAGAAAGTTTCTTCTTTAATGGATGAAAATGTGTTATTAATGTTAATATGCCTTGAAATCTGTATTGCCACTACGCAAATTAGTAAACGGGGGTCTCCCCCGGTCTGACGGTATACAATGCTGTTGTATTGGTATTAGAATCCAAGAATTATTTCTTTCACAGTGAGGGCAGGTACAGCTGGCGTTGAAGCTGGAATTTGGGCGGGTGATCTTGTCGGTACATTTATTCCTTGGTTCTTCACAGAGCATGTAGTATAATGCAAATAATATGCTACTTACTGCTTACCTATTCTTTGTGTTCACTTAGCAAGTTAGCATGGAATATACTATCCCTATAGTTGATGTAAGAAAAACATAATCACTTCAATATTTATTATGGGGTTATAAAGGAGTGGTTATGGTACTGCAGACACCTCACCCCCACCTCCCAGTGCAATCATTCACTCAAATGTTTATTAAGTTCAACTGTCAAAACTAAAATAACCTTAGTATGAGCACTGCTTAGTTGAGAAGCTTCCCTCGGGCAGTGTAAACCAAAATAATAGTCAGCACACAAATTTATTTGCAACATCTAGAAGAAACTCTTAGAATATAGAAACATGAAAAATTTGGAAACTGCAAAACCATAACCACTCCAAAATCAATGCTTCGCCAAGATGTTACTTCACAAGTAAAGCAAGTGGTGCTAATGATGAGAGATGGCAAGCACTCCCAGTCCCAGCTAAAGCAGTGAATTAAGGAAGACAGAATCAAACGAGTGTACATTTGGTATAAACAAGTTACCCATTATTATCCAATTTTTTTTTACCATTATAGCCAACACTTTTCAATCACTTCACAGAGCATAAATGAACTCAATTCTACAAACCTAAGGAATATAAATCATATCTATATCACACAAATAAACATAGGTCACACCTTTCAATCACTGCCCATAGCAAAAATCAAATCAATGAACAACACACAAACTATAAAACTTGAGTCTTTATTGTGCAGTGGAAAATCAAGTGGACAAATATATGGTTCTTGAATTTCTTATGAAAAGAATTCATGACATATTTTTTACTAGAAAAAGAAAACAGATACAACTAAAAAAAATCATGCAATATTGCTTACAAATCAAAAAAGACAAACGAAGGGGAAAAAAATTAAAGAAACATGTTCTAAAACATATAATTTCATTGTATCTTCAAGAAAAAATCAAATCTTTGAATCACTGAATTAAGAAATCTGAAAGATTTGAATTACTTACTTGCAAAGAATTGGATTCCTCCATGGAGTAACTCACTGCGCAAATAAACCCTAATTTTTGCAGTTAAATCGCGGCTATATGGATTGGAGATGCAAGGCGCCAACTTTCCCGCTAGATTTTTCGTGGGTAGAAGTGGAAAATTTCTTGGAATCGCTTATCTTCTAGGTTGAACGCTCACCCCCCAGAGCCTCTTGCGTTTAGCCGTGCGAAATAATAGGGGAGAAGTTACGCCTCTAATCGTAGATCTATTTTGACGGAAGCCAAACAGTAAAACTTAACCCATTAACGTTTTGGCCCCAAAACGTGGATGCCAAACAGGCCCTTAGGTTCCTTTCAACTTCAAAGACGACTCTTCATGACTATGATCGATACATCATATGCATTGATAATTTACAAAAATCGAAGACAATCATTGTCTCATGTAGGCATGTTAATATAGAAACGAGTATGTAGTGGTGAGTAACTATACGTTGGCTTATAAGGCAACCAATTGCCAAGCACTGTTATTAAATCCGGACCGGATCGGGCGGTCCGACCGGTCAAACCACGACCCAGTCACGCAACCAATGCGATCCAACCCCCAAAAACTCAGAAAAATCCAGAAAAAACCGGGTTAACCCGGAAATATCCGGATTGACCCGGGACCCGTCCTCTCCACCGAGTCGACCTCCGGTCTGGGTTTAAAATCATTGTTGCCAAGGGGATGAATACTTTGATATGCAATGGAAGGGTGCAAGTGTAACATAGAACAACATGTAAAACAATAAATAGCCATCATTTCTAATGAAGGTTCAATATTTTCTTCTAAACCAAACAAAGCCAAACGCGTCCATTATATCCCAACATGTACAAATGAAGGTGATATACCAGATGCGTTTGGTTTGTAAGGAAGACGAGCGTATATCGTAACAAAAACACCACGTACATCAGAATGAATGTACAAAAATATAATTTGTCGTTGAATGAGCTGATTACTTCTCTTTATAAGAACACTTATTTCATATACATTCCTCATAACTCGATACAACGACAAACAATAGCCTAAGTAAACTCCGTAAGGTATCATCCCTACCATCGCAAATCTTCTAATAAAATTTGAATTCCAACCGATCATTTTCATGCGCGCCAGAATGAATCCAAAAAATGATGCCGTTGCCATAGTAGCAGAAATAGCATCGAAGCCACGGGCACTAGCAGCGAGACAACAAACGCTTGACCTCCCGCTCCCTGAAACACATCGTCCGTTCACAAGAAAAAACAAAAACAAATGAGTTCATAATGCAACACAAGATTCTATAAGCAAAAAAAGGTGAAAGACCACAAAGGCACTAAAATAACCCAATATTGTGTATAAGCCTCTATGGGTATATTAAAAAACATTGGTTTTCATTATACATTTCACCTTTTATGTGTGTGTATATAAGCAGCAACAACAATACCAAGAATTAAGTAAAATCTCACAATTACAGATCAAGAGCCAAAGTACATTATACCTTCAAGAGAGAAGACGCTGCAGCCGACGAGTTTGGCAACCCACGAAACCCGATATCATAAGAGATGTTCCCATCGGCTTTGAACAACCCATAGTTCTTCTCGGACAGTTGGCCGGGTTTCGAATCCTCGTTGAACAGTGCAAAAATGTAGGCCTTAAGAACGCTCTTGGGCCTCAAAGGCGTCCCTTTCCTCTTCGCGAGCCTCTTCCTCAGATTATAGTTATATGTCCGGGCATTCTCCGTCGTGGCAGCCGGCTCGTTTGTGCCACCATGAGAAGCCCAGCCCGTTTCCGTTATCACCACCTCCATCTTCTTGAACCCTGCGTCCTCTAAAGCCGCATATGCCGCGTCGATTTGCGCGTCCAGTAGGTTGTCGTAGTAAAGATTCGATTTTTTGTCGCGAATCCCTTGGTTTGACTCGAACAGTGCGTAATTGATGTCGATCTTGTCGGAATTGTACGTGTACGCGAGAAACGGGTAGGCGTTTAAGCAGAAGGGGGACCCGATCTCGGAGAAGAATTGGAGGAGGGGTTTCATGAGGTGGGAAACGGCGTCGGTGAAGATGCAGGAGGAGGGGGGGAAGGAGTCGGCGAAAACCGCCTGGGAATGCGCGGTGGTTATCTGGATCCGGCGGGCGAGGTCGAGGTTCGAAGTGGCGTTGTGGATGTTCTTGACGGCGTTCAGGAGGGAGGCGGAGAGTTCGTAATCGCCGCCGCCGAGGACCTCGTTGCCGACGGCGATGCCGACGATGTTGGTGTCGGGGAGGAAGGCGCCGACGTTGTCTTTGACCCAGCTGAGGGCGCGGTCGGCGCTGGCGGCGACGGCCTTCACCTCGCCGTTGGGGAGGCCGATGACGAGCTCGAGGCCGGAGTTGCTGAAGGCCTTGATGACGCCGTGGTCGGCGTCGTAGATTCTGACGTTTCTGATCTTCGCTGCTTTGAGGAGCCTGACGACGTCGTCTGGCTCCGGAATGTTGTCTGCGATTCTGCCGTAGTTGATCCCGTACGTTCCGGTGAACGCTAACGCCGTTTGTTGAGCTGAAAATCAACAACAGGGCAAAGAGACTCCATCAAAGCTTTCTTCCTAATACATTATAATTTTTGAAAAACACCTAAAATTAAATGCATATGAACATAACAGATACTTAAATGTAAACAAAGAATCAATTTTAGAAGTCATATCAAAATAAAGAATCATTTTTCTGAGCAAAATTTCCCTTTCCTATCACTTTCTTTAGTTCCAAGCACAGCCAAACCAATAAGTACTAGATGCTATCCCTTTCCTATGAAAATGTTTTCTAAATTTCTAATTGATTCTTCAAACATTTTGTAAAAAAAGAGTTTCAGTTTTCAGAATTACTCCATACTTTTTTGGTACTCTACTCTTCCATATAATACACCAAAGATTAATCACATAATTTTCAAAAATCCAGACTTTGACTGAATACTCAAGAAAAGAAAAACTCAAGCAAATCAATGGAAGCGAAACATTAACCAAATACATCAAAGATTCATCACAGAAACACATCTGAAACCCATCATAAAAGAAGAACTGAAAGTAAGAGTTACCCTTATGATTGAGGATCATGAACAGCAGAATCATGGATCGCAGAAGAACCTCCATCCCTCCGAAGCCAAAACGACGCCGTTCACTATCCAGTTCAAGAAAACCCGCCGGCCATTTTTGCTTTCTCCAAAGCTCACGCCTTTCTCAGTCGCCTCAGACTGATCTCTTCCGAGGCGACGAATAGATCATCAAGGCCAACCCCACACACAGAAAACGCAATAAATCGAGCCTGTGAACATGAAACAGTCAACAAAAAACCGATCTTTCTTTAAATTAAGAAAAAAAGATTCTTGGGGTATTTTTGGGTGGGAGATTCGAGCTTTGAAGGCTCGTTTGGGCTATGATTGAGTGCGATTGTGAGCTTTTTATAGAGAAAGAAAAGAAAGAGTGGGAGTGAGTGAAGTAATTTGCAGAAGGAGAGCTTTTTTTTCTTCAGGGTGTGAATGTGTAAAAGCGTAACTGTGTAAACCTCCCAATGGAAGAAAAAGGTTGACGCGGATCTGAAGGAGTAGAGAAGAGAGGATTGAACCGGGCGGGCGGGCGGCCGGTCAAGGAAGAAGCGTGGGCTAAGAATCTTTGAATCTTTTCCATTCAAAAATACTCTTGAAATAGATAACGGCCCATGTTTTCCGGTAAAAAAGAAGAAAAAAAATCCTCAAAGGGAAGGTGAAATTAAATTGTTCTAGTTATTCAACTTTCTCCTATTCAAATGGTACATTTTAGTAGTTATACTTTTGTGGTAGGTAGAAAATACCTAAGAGGAGAGAAAATATTCTCTAAGGAACTTAGTAGACTTCTTTTGACAACAACTCTATGACAACAAGAAAGACTAACGTTGCTTCATTCAAAAAACTGATGATTCCTAACCTACTAAACTGCCTACCTGCCCCTCACCCCAACAGCCCCCCTGTCCCCCACCCTAAAATGATGATTGGTTACACTGTTTCAAAAATTTATACGAGTATTTCAAACTTTAGTTTCAATCAATTTTTCATACTTCAAGTATGTGTGCTATAAAATTCTTTGAACAGGTTTATCAATTTCTCTTTTATTTTGCAGTGATTCCTCTGCAGTTCCATAAAAAAAATTATTCTAAATTTTGATTTTACAAAAATATTAAACAGTAAAAATTATGTATTGATGAATGAAAAATAAGCTAAGGTGATTTTTTTGCTAGACATGTGGATGCATATTTAGATATTTGAAGTTTAGTTTTTTTAATTTTGAAGGAAGAAGTTAAGTTAACCTTTTATATTTATCTAGGACAGAGATAAATTTGGTACCTAAAAATTGAGTCTTGAAGTCCTGAATTACATTTTTTGGGAGGGAGTATATTATCTTAGCTTGGTGGGAGCATATAAATATGGAGTGTGAAAACCTTCCAAGCTAAGGCAAAAGAGGAATGAATGAAAGAACCAAAAAAGCAGAAGCTGTTATGTGCAGTTTGCATTTCCAAAAAATTGGTATATTTAGTAGATACACTCTTTTGATTTAGTGGCCCAACTTTACACTTAGGCATTCTTTTTGTTGTATACTTTTGATCAAATGAATCATTAATCATTCAATTGTACATGATGAAAAATATTGTCTAGCTCAAAGCCTCAAACAGTTCAATCCGAATTATCTAATCAATTAGGAAGACTATGTGACAAGGATTGTGTTAGGGGGACCCTAAATTGGTGATACTATTTTGACCTCAAACATTACATAGACATACACAGATAATGAATGTCTGCGCACAATATAAATATTAAAGACATACAAAAGTAAGGTACAAACTACAAACGAGTGAGCAATCCTAATTTTGACAATATAAATCTTATTTTTGTAAATTGTTTTATTGACCATCTTATTTTTATACATGAAGAATGTTTTAGTTTTAATTAGACATTTTTGTTTTTTTAAGGGCACTTTGAAAACATATGTTTAACCCACAGACATCGGTAACTAGTAAAGGAAAAATTTGTCTGGAGACGTAACTCAAGTGATCAATATAATGTAAAATAATATTATGATTGCCACTTTTGACTAAATCAAGAACATGTTTCATTCACTATTGGTAAATTAGAGTTAGAACCCTCAATGATTGTCTAGGCCTAACTTGAAATGATTTTAGGATGGGATTGATCTATTTTTTAGAGGTGCCACCCTATAGAAGAGATTGTGTTCAAGTAAGGGTGTGGGTTGATCTCTATTTGGTAAGGCAAAAGCTTGGGTTTCTTTTTAAAGATAACCCAATTTACCAATGGTAGGCCACACTAGAAATTTCATGATGACTGAAATGCCCTCACACCACAAATCTCTCCAAACATGGACTTATGGATATCCTCCTATCCTCTATCTCCCCTCTCATATTCTATCAAATTCTATACCATCAAAATAATCAAAAAAAAAAAAAAGAAATAAAAATCAGAAAAAGGAAAAGAAAAGGAAAAGATGGCAATCTGTGTGTCAAATGCAAAACCCTTCATCCCTTCCCTTCCATCTTCGTCTTCACCATTTCCACTTCATACCCAGAAGCTCAATTCTTGGAGAAAGCCCACACTCTGCAGATCTGTAAAGGAGTCACCTTTTCCCCATCCAAATCTCATCTCGAGGAGAAGAAGCCTTTCCCTTTGTCTCACCACCAGTTTTCTGCTCTCTTTGGGTGGTAGCCATGGAAGCCTTGAAGCTAATGCTGCAATTCTTGAGGCTGAAGATGATGAGGAACTGTTGCAGAAGGTGAAGATGGATAAAAAGAAGAGGGTTGAGAGACAAGGGTTGATCAGTTCATCTGGTAAAGAGACAGGTCAGAACCCATTCTTCTGATGGAATTGAAGAAATTAAAAAGAAGAGCCAAGAAAATGCTTAGTTCAAATAGAATCTTTTTTTGTGGTTGGTTCTAGTTCTTGTTGTAATTTCATCTTTGTTACATATAGCGTTGAGCTACATAGACCATTTGATCAAGATGAGTGTTATATTGTACGGAGTAATATGACTGGGGTTCTATTGACAAGTAACTATGGTGCCATGATAATATGACACCAAGTCTATTTGAAGGTCCTATGATGTTCCATTTGATGGTTAATATCCCTTAACTCCCACAAACCCCATAGCCTATCCCAGCTGATATGCTACTATGTTCACAATAGCATATCAGTGAAAAAAGGGGTTGGGGGCGGGGGTAGAGGTTAGGAAGTAGAAGTCACTTCGGGGGTGAACAGAACACCGTTGGACCATCAAATGGACCAGTGTCATATTATGACACTGGCCTTGGGGTCAAAAGAATTGGGCTGAATATGTCGATTTATATTCTTATATTGGGTCTATGTGCGACTGTGCATCCATAGTTGTGAGTTGTGTGTACTCTATTAAGAGACTTGCAAAGGTTAGAGGGCTTTTTGGAGTTGAATTAGGCCAAACCTTATTCTTAACATCGATGATTCTCTCAACAGTTTAATCTTTTATACACTTCCATTTGGTTGCTGTGAATTTCTTTATTACTTTATCCTAACTGTTCTAATCATAATACTGTTGTATAAAGTTTTTTTTTTGTATTATAAGAAAAATGGTATATAAACCTAGCCCTTTTACAATGAGCTCATTAATTGGTTTTGGAAACAGTCTGTTTAGTGTCTTCTACCAAGTAGGGTAAGGTCTCTGGGATACAGCCATCCCCATACCTTATTTCCCACAAGATTTTATTGGATGTGTTGATGATGTACGGAGTATATGATAAAATGGGTCCCTTTACCACAACAAACCCAGTTAAATCCCACAAAAGTGGGGTCAAAAGGTGTGTAGAGGGTGTGTGTATGGAGACCTTACCCTACTCGGCAGTAGGGAAGCTGTTTCCAATAGAAGAAATGGATCCTTAATGATCATATATATGCATACATGGTTTTATAATGCTAACTTATTTTGCAGCACACCTGCAAGATCTTGTCTACAAGCTGAACAGAATTGGTGAAGCCATCGACAAAAATGATCTCCCTGCTGCAAGTGGTGTTCTTGGCCAAGATCTCAAAACAGATTGGGTTAAGAACGTTAATTCGGCCTTAGACAAGGTCTCTTGATCAATCAAGTTACTATTTTTACCTTTTCTTTGGTGTGGTGAATATCTTTGTTTTGAATGTTTTACTTTTCCCCAACAGTTCAGCATAAGCCCCCAAGAGAAGGCTGAGGTAGATGCATTCAGCTCATCATTGGCTTCTCTGATTTCATCAGGTATGATTGGTTATGTTCAAAGTAATTGTGTTAGAGTATAAAACCTTTCTTGAACCTACAACAAGTTGAAGCTTGTAGCTGAGTTGGTTTCTTGATAAAGTGTTTGGTTACACGATTTGGAAACAGGCTTTGTGATTTGAAATCAATACTACACAAACCCCACTGTCATAATATGACACTCGGTCCATTTGAGGGCCTTATGGTGTTCCATTCAAATCTGTAATGGTTTCTACCCCCCTTAAACCCCACAAACTTCTTCCCAACCTCCCTCAGTGGGTCACAATCCAGTGTCTATTTAACAGTTGATTTTCACCCACTCAAGAAGGGGCGAGGTCAGATTAGGGTAGGAGCATTTTTAGAGAGTGAAAGAACCACTTTGCGACCAAAACGATAGTCTTTTTATTCACGTGTTTTGACAACCTCTTGAAAGTGATTTTTTTGCCAGTGGAGAAGAAAGATTTTGAAGCATCAAGAGTGGCATTTGTAGCATCAGCAACTGCATTTGAGAAATGGACAACCTTAACAGGTCTTGCTAGAGAGCTTAAAGGAATCTGAAAGATTTTTTCTCCATTTATTTACAATGTCTAAAAATGTCTTGGTTGTATGTTTTAATGATTGGAAACTTGTCTGAAACACCAAATGTTCACTGGTAAGATTTATACTTATTGCAGCAGCAGTGGATCACTATAATCTGCTAGCTATCAAGAATGTGTTGTAAATATTCATGTCTTTTGGCATTTGATACATGGAATATCTTGTAAAGAAATGTTTGTTTCAGAAATTTCTATTTAACTCTAGAGAAATTTATAATTTTGCAATTCATGTTAGAGATAAACTAATAAATTTTTTAATGGCACAGATTAATTCTAAAAATGCTAAGATAGTACTTAGGTTTGCTTAGCTTCTTTTAAATAGTGATTGCTAGTAATAATTTTGACAACAAAATTTAAACATATTTCAAATGTGTTCTCAGCTTATGTTTTAATGCCCTGGTTCTGTAGCCACTCATTTTCAGTGGCTTCGGAAGCCACTGAACAAATTGGGGCACTTATGGTGTTCCGTTCGTAAAATTGATAGTCCCTATCTCTCCGAATCTTCAACCTATGCCTTTATCCAGTCCCGAACCCAACCCACCCTTTCAATCACGTCAATTATAACTCCAAAGTCAATGAAACTTGTACCCCGCGATTGACGTGGTTGGAGAGGTGGTTGGGATCGGGACTGGATAAGGGGGTTTGCCAGGGAGGTTAGGGGATGTATGAACTATCAATTTTGTGAATGGAGCACCGTAGATGCCCTAATTTGTTCAGTGGATTCCGAAACCACTGGAAATCAGNAACATATCTTTAAAAAATTATTTCGTAGAAATCAGACACTTTGAACATTTCAAATGGTTTTTATTCAAACCAAAATTTTTGAAAATTATTTATCAAGAAGCTAGAGTCAAATGCTCACCATCATCACTATTTTTCACAAAACTAATTAAAGAGTAATTTACTATTGGTAATTTTTTTAACGTCCTTTGTTTAATAATTTTTCACATTTTTCTTTTTGATTCGTTTATAAATTCCTCTTTTTCATATATGGCATTTTAAAACAAAATTTATGAAAAAATAGTGTAATGCTAACTTCACTCCTCACTTGGCTAAATCCACTATTTAATAATAAACGGACAATTTTTTTTCCAACTCTTTTCTCTTTTTTTAAACAGTTAAAGGTTAAAATTTTAAGGGTAGTATGTTTTTTTAATATAAATAGAGACATAGCCAAATGAGACTATGAGAGGTGGATTTTACAATAACTTAAAATAAATTGCTCTGTATCAAAGACGGTCAAATCAAGTAATTATAGGAGTAATAATGTTTGAAAAAACAAAACAAAAAAAAACACTGCATTATTTAATCTAACAGACCAAAAAAATTGGCAATAAACCTACATAAAAAAATTATAATCCGTAGATGAAGTTCTCCTTACAAAACCAAAAAAGAAAGAAGGATGACTACTAGAATATCAGGTAAGTGAATAAAAGACTGCAATTCTAACAAACCGCAGCATTGAAACACAACCTTGTCTTCCCATCTCCTCCCCCAAAGTTAAACTTAATAGCATCTGTTGCATCAGCAGGGGCAGAAAGACTGCTTGTAGATGGGAAAGAGAAGACGAGTGCCCGCGAGGATTTTCCATTGCCAAAGCTGAAAGAAGGAAGTGTATCATCAGACAGCGCAATCTTTGCAGCAGATGATGATGGCATTGAAGGGGTGGGGGGTTCGGAGAGCGCACCAGATGTGGCAGGAACAGGGAAGGTGAACCCAATGGGTGGGGTGGTGGAATTGGAGAATATGTTGTTTCTTAGATCAGGCTTGTTTATGGCTATGGCTGTCAAGTTTGGTTTTGTTCCAGAGGTATGGCTATGAGGGGCCGTTTCTTTTTCAGGGTTGGGCCCCGCCGGGTCGGATAGTGTGGAGGTTGAGGAGGCATTCTGCCCGTTGCTCTGTTGTTGGAGGAAAGAAGACCGGTTTTGTGGGGTTTCTCTTGGCACAATATCAGTTAACGAATTCTGCATAGGACAAATAAGTCCAAATCAATCAGTGTTGAGTGAAATTAGTGCCTTATTACTCATTGCTGAAATCCCCTTTGTTATTAAGAGCCCATTTGGTGAGTTTTAAAAGATTGATATGATATGACTTCTCAATCGGGAAGAAACGATATGAGTTTTGAAATCCAAAACGAAAATGTTTAAAGATATTTGACAAGAGAGGGTGTGCTTCGTATTTAACTTTGAAGGGTAAAACTGGAAGAGTTTAACTATGCTCCTAAAATGTTTTATCAAGACAAATAAAGGGATAGCAAAAAACTTCATACCTTATAAGAATTCGGGATGCTGGAAGGAGGGAAGAAAATATTCAATTGTGAATCTGCTGAGAATGACGAAGGCCCAGCATTTGAATTAGATACATCTAAACTACTGTCGCCGAAATTCCTCTGAACAGTGCCTTTATCACTATTTTCACCCTTCAAAGATTTTGTGGACCCCAACTCAGTCCTCTTCAGATCTGCATTCTCAGAGGGTCTTGCATGAGAAGTAGCCAGATTCAGTTCATATGCCTTCTCTTTAGGTGTTGGCTTGTGCCTGCTAATGTGCTCTAATATTATTCTACTTGCCTCATTTTGAACAGTCTTTGAAGTCTCCCCGGCGTGGCCAATTTCCTTATTCTTTGTGAGACTGGGCAAGAATGTTTTAGGAACAAGTGATTTTTCGATTTCTGATGCGGCTTTAGAGGGATTCAGAAAAATGGATTTCTTGGGCCGAGGTTCTGTACCAAGCTTGTTGCGTATTCTCCGAATAGGTCCAACCGATCCATAACCTTGGTCAAACACAGCAGTCTTTGCCCTTTCCTGAAGTTTTCCAATACAAGAGGTTTAGATAAGGTAAATAATTGGCCTGCTATAAAAAAACCAGAATAATCCCACGAAAAGTAGGGTCTACGAAGGGGTGTGTACATAACACAAACAAGGCATGCTATCAAATGATTAAGACAAATTTTATTTTGAAGAATACAAGTTGTTTTAGAGTATATGAAATCTCTTCCGCTTGCAAAGAAGTATTTGAAAGAAAAGTAGGAGAAGTGCCTTTAAGAGTTGAACAAAGCAGGTGAAAGCACTTGCAGTAAGCAATAATTACTGCTTTTTGACAAAGAAAAACCCCCTTGAAGTATGCATAAGTGGTCAAGTGAGAAGGAACTTATGATAACACTATAACAGAACTTATATTATTGCAATATAGCACAATGTTATATGGCACAAGTAAGATGAATGTGAGAAGGTTACCTGCATACGCGCTGACATTGGAGATTGTTGAGAAGACTGTAAAGAAAAATCAAGGCCCCTGCTATTAGTTCTAGACTTAGATAATAAAGTTCTAGAATATGGAGTCCTGGGAAAATCATGGAGCCCATATCTGCTTCTCTGATTCTGTGGTGTATTGAGGCCCTGATTACGCTCTGAGGCCATGGTGCCGGGCCAACAAGGTGATGGTTTAGGTAAAGGTGGTGGAACAAAATTTTTATATGCATTCTCTGGATCTTGTTGGCCCTTGGAAAGGAAGCTGCGATGGCTAGGGCTTTGATCAGCCATTCGGCTTCCCATATACGCTTTTGCAACATCTATGGGAGACGCACCAATTTCATCTTTCACCTGATGAATTATAGTATATTCATAAGGCACCAATTTCATAAGGCACCCCACTATCCAATTATGCATGTAATTTAAGCACAAGAGTATATGCACGTGAAAATTATATCGGAGCCTTGAATGTCCTATTGCTAAATTCAGTTGAACTTGCCTCTTTTCGATATAAAAAAAACATCAGCTATAGACCCGCCTGGAACATGGAAAATGCAAAAGAAAATAGGGGCAAAAATGCATTATCAATTTGGGAGAAAATAAGGATGCATTTCAGACTCAATAAATCAATTTTAGGTATTTGTTCAAAGTCCAACCCATTATAATCACAGCTCTGTTAGGGTGATGGGCCATGACTCAAGATGTATGCAACCTTACCTCAGTTAAAAAAAGAAAAAAGAAAGGTTGTTTCAATTATCCCCTTGATGCACAGCTATATTTAATGTGCTACATTTAATGTCCAAAACTTCATAGAAAGTAAGAAGCATGGAAATTTTATAACTCCATTTTGATTTAGTCCATTATTTACTCGAAGCTAAAATGTTGTCTAAATAACTCTATTTACTCAAGTGGCAGTGTGAATTATGAAAATCTATTTACCACACAAATTTGTTTCCCCTTCGTATTTTACAAGGTAAAAAGAAACTGAAACAATCTATTTTTCTTATACCACACCTAAGTGCTACATTCAACTCTGAGGTCCTCATTGCATAGACACTTTTTTAGCACTGTAAAACACACACATGCACACAGTCACACACACACGCAGATATATATTCACTTTATCAGCTTTCAGTCAAGCAAACCATAAACAATACAAGTATCCACAAAATGGTTGATGGTAGCAAATGACTCACCTTTGTCTGAGGCAAAGGTGTCAAAGGTCCACGTAGAACTCTGTTCACATCTTCAGTACTTTCAGTTGGTTTTCTTGGTGTACCATGCAAGAAAAGAACTCCTTCGCTATCTCTTCCTGAAATCATGCTTGATTTGTCCTTTTCTAGATCATCAGTAGCTCTTGCTTTCAAAAGTTCAGTCAAATGGATTATTTCTTCCCTGCATAACAATGAAGACCAGTTTGAAAACAAGCAAAACCATACCAAATTTAAAAATATACCACACGTGCACATACAAATATAGGCCATGTTCTCTAGGACATAATTCCGCTAGTAAGACTCCAAACTCAACCCTTTAGTGGAAAGTCCTAGAGAATGAGCTCATAATCTTTTACTTGAAACAAGACAAACCCCCTTTTCAAATAATACTACCTCCGTCCCAGAGTATTTGTTCACTTTCATTTTTACACACCATCCAATACACGTCTTTAATCCATTTTATCTTGTAATTTGTATATTAAAAAATTATAGAAATTATATATTAATAATCTATATGTTAAGACAAATCAAACAAGATCACACATGACTATATTTAGCTTACACATTGAGAGAATTTGATGAGTCAAAGTGCTTAGATGATCAGTTCCAAAAGTCAAAACTGGACGAATACTCCGGGACGAAGGGAGTATAACTCAACTAAAGTTGTGCCCATTGGTGAGAGATTGCTAATAGAACTAAAAGAGTCAGTATTGACAATTTTTA